GCAAATGCATAATGTTTACCTTCGCATATGGTCTGCTTTGTTAATTCTTACTCAAACACATTCACACATATGGTGACTGGAGTCTAAATCCCTTGTACCATAAAATTGCAACATGATGTAACCCAACACCAGTTACCATGGTGAGAGACAGTCTGGTTCAGTCAGGTCATCAGAGGTCACTGTTTAGCAAAAACAATATGTTTTCCTTCGGTAAACATAATGAAGTGTGTATTTTAGCAATCTTTTGTTGAGTTTTTACAGAATGAACTTTATACAGTATCATATTTATTTGACGATTTTTCAACAGAGCTAGAGACCTGTAGTTAGTGTTAATTAATATTAGCAAGGTACGTTAATGATAACTACCAGTGTCATTTTGTGCACACAACATGTCACAGTAATTGGTAAAAAGTGTGTTGGGCATGGTGCCATTCCTCCACAATAAATGAAGACCACGGGTGACTTATGTTGGCTTAAAATGAAACAGGTTTAGACAGCAATTTGTTCAGTGGATTAATCCTAACTAGAACGGAGTTCACCGAACTCAGGTTCATTCACAGTGACTGATGAAAGCAGATGCTGTCTGAAACATTGGTTTGAGACAGCAGACAGATGCTGTCTGAAACATTTGGTTGGAGACAGCAGATGCTGTCTGAAACATTGGTTGGAGACAGCGGATGCTGTCTGAAACGTTGGTTGGAGACAGCGGATGCTGTCTGAAACGTTGGTTGGAGACAGCGGATACTTTCTGAAACGTTGGATGGAGACAGTGGATGCTGTCTGAAACGTTGGTTGGAGACAGCATCTGCTGTCTGAAACATTGGTAGAGACAGCGAATGCTGTATGAAACATTGGTTGGAGACAGCAGATGCTGTCTGAAATCTTCGTTGGAGACCTCATCCAGCTATCTGAATTTTGTATAATGTGCCTGACCTGTCTAACCTCTATCGATCCCCTCACTTCAACCATTGTAACATTGTAACAGTGTCATACAAAATGTACCTGATAATGTTCGACACCAATTTTTTCAGAAAAAAATTATGAAGCGACAGGGCGAAAAAAAAACAGAGCCAGGCATTCTATTATATAATGGGACTAATTACACAAATTTTCCCCATTTTACTGTATTTTTCTAATGCCACTATATCAATCTACCCTTTATACCTAGACTAAATACCGTGTCAAAATCCCATGTTCTGGGACTAGTGTTTGTGTAACAGAATAATAATTCTCTGATGTAAGAGCAAATCAAAAGACTGTACAAAATCTACAATGTTAACAGCAGTAACAGCTGCCAAATTTTCCCCATTTTACTGTATTTTCCTAATGCCACTTCAATTTACCTAGACTACAGTAGCAAAATCCCATGTTCTGGGACTAGTGTTTGTGTATAACTGATGTAAGAGCAAATCAAAGGACTGTGCAAAATCTACAACAATGTTAACATTAACAACAGATTGAAACAGCTGCCAAATTTTCCCCATTTTACTGACTATTTTCCTAATGCCACTTCAATGGCACCCTTTAATGGCACTCTGTGGTCTCTTCAGCTCAGCTGAGTTATTCTGCGGTTCCCTCTCCGGCCAAGTAATCAAGGTGAAGTGGAAGAAAATGAGTTTTATCAGGGGATGGTGCCGTGATAATGCTGTGGGAGATAATGGCCTGGGTGAGCTAATGAGTATTTGATAAAGTTGGATGCTCCCCTGTCACATTTACTTTGCATGTGGAAAGATAATGCACAGGCCAAATGGCTCTGTGCCACATAGATCTCAGTACTAGGAGTAATAGCTTTGACATAGTACAAAATGTATATAAATGCTGACTGGGCATGTTGTTAGGTTGTAGTAGTCTGACTTCTTCTATAATATATTTCTGTTCTAATTCTTATAGCCTGTCACAATTCTTGTACGTCGTGCGAGGTGGTTCATACCTGTCGCCAAGTTCTGTAACCTCCGTTACCGCTCAAGTAAGACACAGTCGAGTACAATGTAGCTTAGACCAAGCCACACATAAGACAAGAAATTTCCATTTTGATAACTTTTTGCAGGTTTTCAGGGTTTCTAAGGGAATGTGTATTTGATAAAGTTGGATGCTCCCCTGTCACATTTACTTTGCATGTTGAAAGATTATGCACAGACCAAATGGCTCGGTGCCACATAGATCTCAGTACTGGGAGTAATAGCTTTACACAGTACAAAATGTATATAAATGCTGACTGGGCATGTTGTTAGGTTGTCGAAGCCTGACTTCTTAATAATATTTCTTTTAAGAGGAATATTTTGTCGTATCCTTTGGGTTGTCTCTAACTGTTCATGATAAGAGTAGTGATTATAGATGGATTTTTTTTATAAATTATGTTAACTGAAGGAAAACATATTGCTTTTGCTCAGTTTCTTCTTCTTCTTCTCCATTAACAGTGACCTCAATGACCTGAACCACTATTTATTACTGTTATTGGTTAATTACTGTGTTTTCGTTATTATCATTGCCATTATAATTTATTTATTGTTTTCGTTATTATCATTGCCATTATAATTATTTATTGTATAATTTTTGTATGCTAATGTTATTATTTGTATGTGATTGTTGTATTGTGCTGTGTAATACAGGGCCCCGTTGAAAAGCAGTGCCATCACTGAATTGGGTTACCCTGTATAAAAATGACGGAAAATAAAATAAATAAATAAAATAACCAATGTTGTGTCTGTTGCCATGGTAACTAGCTATAGTACTAGTGTTGGGTTACATCATGATGCAATTTTATAGCAGGAGGGATTTAGACTCCTGTCTGACCATATAATGTTAATATATGAATTGTGTTTGTCAATGAGTAAGAATTAAAAGAGTAGACCATATGCGAAGATATTTTCATAATTTTACGCATTTCACTTGCAAATGTTACCTTTCTTAGACTAGTAATTTTCAAAATGGTGTTAGTAGATCTTTGCTTAACTAATAAGAGGATCAAGGAAAATGACTAAATTTTTGGCCTAGTCCAGATTAGAATCAACTATGGCAATTATATTAAGCAAGAAATTACTTAAAAAAGAACCAAGTCTTATAGTGGATAAATGTGGTAGCTTGTAAATATTGCAGAATCTGATGATGGCCATTATTTTACGATTACTAATCTTTGTCCATCATCAAATATTTTTTATGGACAGTTTGATACTATGGCTTCTATTGTAGATGGGAGACAATAAATGATACTTTACTTTATTGTTATATAAGAATGTTAGTTATGATTTTGGACATATAGTGGTTTTTCGAGTCCTCAGAGTGTTGGCCATAAATTTTATTGTCCACGTGGATTACTTTGATAACGATTATACAGTAACTTTTTACAGTTTCATCTGATAATATTAATAACTACCATCTAGTGAATTATAGTTGTGATGTCAGTAAATTTGTTTTGATTTAATGTAGGCTTTTATACTTTCAAGGCTTGAAATTATAGGTGGTCCAATGGCCACTGACCACTTAAATTTATCCTGAGACAACTACACACTTTGGGATATATTTGGGACAATAGAAAAATTTAGGAAGAAAAGTTTATTTCAAGGCCTGATTTTGACTTGCTATATGAAAAGCAATACTTAGTCTGCATGGGTCTTTTTGTTCCTTGCTTGTTGAAATGTGTTGTTTGTCATTGTTTACTTGAAGTTCTAATGAATATACAACTCTCTTTCCAGACTATCAACAAAATTTATGCATTACGAATCCCTTGCAATACATAAAAATGCCTATCAGGAGTGTTACAGTAACAGTGCATGTTTGTTTCCCATTCTACGTTTGACAGCAATGAGTCAAAACAACACAGAAGAGGTGGATCTTAATTTTTGTGATCATTTCCTTTGTAGCACCTTGAGACTATTATGACATATCCCTATATGATAATTAAGACTTTTTTTATGTTCTTCAGCTTTTTTAGATTGATGATTTTGTTGTTCTTTCCTATGCAGGCCCTTAAGACTAATACTAATATGTCCCTATAGAATCTGATAAATATTTGGATATGTTTTCAGTTTTTTAAATTGATAATGTTGTTTCAAGTCTGCAAAGCCTTTACTACTATTGTATAAAGCTAAATGATACATATATAATATATCCCAAAAGGGAGTAAGAAAATTTATTGTGTTTTTCAGTTTTTGAGACTAATGTTGCCCCTATAGAAACTGATAAAGATATGGATTATGTTTTCAGTTTTTTAAATTGATGATGTTGTTTCCAGTCTGCAGAGCCTTAAGTTTACTATGAAGCTAAAATATCCCAAAAGGGAGTAAGAGAATTTATTGTGTTTTTCAGTTTTTGAGACTAATGTTGTCCCAGGCCTATAGAAACTGATAAAGATTTGGATATGTTTTTCAGTTTTTTTAAATTGATGATGTTGTTTCCAGTCTGCAGAGCCTTAAGTTTACTATGAAGCTAAATATCCCAAAAGGGAGTAAGAGAATTTATTGTGTTTTTCAGTTTTTGAGACTAATGTTGTCCCAGGCCTATAGAAACTGATAAAGATTTGGATATGTTTTTCAGTTTTTTAAATTGATGATGTTGTTTCCAGTCTGCAGAGCCTTTAGTGTAAAGCTAAATGATGTATCCCAAATGGAGTGAGAAAATTTATTGTGTTTTTCAGTTTTTGATACCAATGTTTTCCCTCCTGATAAAGATATGGATAATTATGTTTTCGTTTTTTTCTTTTTAATTGATGATGTTGTTTCCAAGTCTGCAGAATACTTTACTATAAAGCTAAATGATATATCCCAAAAGGGAGTAAGAAAATTTACTGTGTTTTTCAGTTTCTGAGACTAATGTTGTCCCAGGCCTATAAAAATTGATAAAGATTTGAATAATATTTTTTTTATGTTTTCAGTTTTCTAAATTGATGATGTTGTTTCCAGTCTACGGGTCCTTTGCTATAAAGATGTATCCCAAAAGGGAGTAGCAAAATTTATTGTGTTTTTCAGTTTGTGAGACTAATGTTGTTGTTGTCCCATCTACAGGGCCTTGAGGCTATACCCCCAGGAGAGTCGCGTACAATTTACGTAGCAAACCGCCAGGCACCATGGGCAGGCACCGAGGTCTATATAGCACCAGAGGAATATCCTGACAACACGATAAAATCCTCAAAGGTACAGCAAACACTTTACACAGTTATATCTGTCTTCTTATGGCTTATTACAAGTTACATACTGAATAGCATTAGTGATGCATACCGGTTCACTGGACTTGTAAGAATGTTTAGGTTCAAGTCCAAAAAAACCTAAAAGTCAAGAACCGAGTCCGGACTTATTACCATAGAAAACCATGTCACATACCCCATTTCTTTCCAAACCACCTAAAACCTTCCATGGATTGCAAAATCTTTGCTGCAAAATGAAGAAAACATTGCCATCGGGCATCGTCAAGTACCGTTTCAGACAACATTGCAAGGTTGCCAACATGCAATTTTGTATATGCCATGGGTTTAGGTCTGGACTTACAAGTCCGGAACTGAATCTAAACCTCTGGACTTGAATCCGGACCTGAACCTAAAATTGGGTTTAGGTATGCATCACTAAATAGCATGCACAAGTTAGTTACTATATAGCACCAGAGGAATATCCTGACAACACAATAAAATCCTCAAAGGTACAGCAAACACTTTACAGAGTCATATCTGTCTGCTTATTTACAAGTTGCATATCGGTAAAGTACCTGTAAAACTATTTCTAAGGTATAAAAGTCCAGACCTGAAAATTTGGTGTACAAAATTTGTTGTTTCTCGGATTCACCCTGTCCATTTTTTTCTGATTTGCAAAAAAAAAAATTGGGGGGGTTCTACATGTTAATCAACTGCAAAATGCTCAATGAAAGACATATTTTGGCCCCAACAGTTGAAGAAAGTCCTTTTCTTAGTTGTTAAAAGTTTTTCAATGTAACAATGCAATTTTGTTTCATTAAAAGTTCAAAATCTAGCCTGGTATGTTCACTTCATGGCTGATATTGTAACATTTCCGGCCTTCATGTGGTGCCTTGGCCTTTTTTTTTTCGCCCTGTCGCTTCATTTTTTTTCTGGAAAATCCGAGAAGCAACAAATTGAATTGGTGTGGCCTTACCTGTACAAAATAGATACATTAGTGGACATCATCTTGTACACTAAAGAATGGTAAATAAATTAAATCTCAAAGATTACAAGTTCACTTTTTTGCACCTATGTTGATTGAGGAGAGGTACAAAATGTAGGTGTAAAGTGGCATTCCCAAAAGCAGTTTTGTAGGCTGCTACTAAGGCCACACCAATTTAATTTCTTGGTCAACGGATTTTTCAAGAAAAATAATGGAGCGGGCGGGCAAAAAAAATTAAAAATAAAAACAGACCTAGGCATTCTATTATGGCCCAGAATGGTATTAGAGCTAGAGTGTTTAAAAACTGATAACCCCCAGCGATTCTGGAACGAAGTAAATAAGTTGGGTCCAAAAAGAAGCACTAAAATCCCTATGAAAGTGGTAAATGAATCTGGAGACTTGATACAAGATGTGAAGTCAGTTCTGGATAGATGGGAATCAGATTTCTCCAACTTATTTGCTGGTAATAACGCTGAAGGTGTATTTGATGATGACTTCTTCAAAGAGATCTGTGCTCTTAAACATCGGCTTGAAAATGAGATGAAGGATGTATCGTACTCTCCGAACCCATTCCTTAATGCCCAAATCACACTTAGTGAGGTCACAGCAGCTGTGGAAGCAGCCAAGACAGGAAAAGCAATGGGTATAGATGAAATTTCAAACGAAATGCTGAAAGCACCAGACATTCTGCATATTTTGCATACTCTTTTCCAAACCTGTTTTGAAAGTGGCATCATACCCTCTGCTTGGTACAAATCGATAATTAAGCCCATCCCCAAGTCATCTAAGAAAGACCCTAATGTTCCCTTAAACTACCGCGGGATTAGTTTAATGAGTACTGTATATAAACTTTACTCAAGTGTTCTTAACAACAGGTTAACCCAGTATCTAGAGTGCTCAAATCTACTTGAAGATGAGCAGAACGGTTTCCGTAAAGGTAGAGCCTGCATTGATCACATTTACACAGTATGTACGGTGATTAGGGCCAGAATGGAAGAAGGAAAGTCAACTTTTGCTTGCTTTATTGACTTTCAAAAAGCATTTGACTGGGTAAACAGGGACCTTCTAGCCTACAGACTCATCCAAATGGGCGTTGATGGGAAATTTTTCGAAAATATATTATCTCTGTATAAATCCCCAATAGCCTGTGTAGAGGTGAATGACTACCGTACACACTGGTTCCCCACTCCTTTCGGAGTAAAGCAAGGGGACGTACTATCTCCTACATTGTTTGCTATGTATGTTAATGACCTTGCTCAAAATGTCAAAGATTCTGGTTTGGGAGTCAGGTTTGGTGAGAAGACTCTAAGTCTGCTGCTGTATGCAGACGACATTATTATATTGGCAGATAATGAAAGTGAACTGCAGGAACTGCTAAACATTGTAAATGACTGGTGTTCTAAGTGGCGGCTCATGATCAATCAAGGAAAAACACAAATAATGCATTTCAGGAAAAAAGGAGTAAGAAGGAGTTCCCATGAATTTAGATTTGGAAATTTGAAACTTGATTATGTGAGCCGGTACAAATATTTAGGTCTTTTCTTAGATGAACACCTGTCTTTTAATACAGCTACTACTGTTCTTGCAGAGGCTGCAGGGAGAGCTCTAGGTGGGGTTCTGGGTAAAGTCAAGGTTTTAAAAGACTTGGGTTACTACACATACACACAACTCTATGAAGCGTGTGTTTGTCCCATCCTTGACTATGCAGCTGGTGTCTGGGGATACAAAACAACTGAGAAGTGTTCAGTGGTGCAGAACAGAGCAATTAGGTGCGTTTTTAGGGGTGCACAGATTTGCACCTGTTCTTGCTACAACAGGGGACATGGGCTGGGCGCCCTGTGAAATAAGACAGCAGGGGTCTGTAATCGCTTTATGGAATAGACTTATCAATATGTCAAATGATAGAATTACAAAACAAGTATTCTTATGGGACTTTCAAAACCATGGCCCCTGGAGTAGAAATGTCCAGGATATATTCTGTAAAGTTGAGCAAGAACATGTTTATCTTAACACATTGAGGGGTGACATTAGGCAAATTAAAGGGAAGCGTTTTGACTTATACAAGCAAGACTGGGCAACCAAAGTACTTTTGAAACCTAAACTTAGAACATATGCTCTGTTTAAAGATACTTACTGTATAGAAAAATATGTAACTATGTGTCTCCCCAAACGCCAAAGATCATTGTGTGCGCAGCTGCGAGCTGGTATTTTACCTATCAATATTGAAACTGGACGGTACCAGGGAATTCCTGAGGAAAGTAGAATGTGTACCATGTGTGACTTGGATGAAGTAGAAAACGAAACACATTTTCTTTTTACTGTCCCTTTTATGACGATCTTCGAGAAAATATGTTTCGTAAAATTTATACAAAATCACCTGACATCATATGGGAAAGAGATGAAAATAGAATTAAGTGGCTCTTTAACGAGGGTGTATCTCACCTAGCAACTTTCATTTATCGAGCGTGGGGGAAAAGAAGAAAATACCTGTATTCATAACACATCAACAGTTCTCACCTTTTGTTACTTCTACACATTTGTTTTCTCTTATTTATATTTGATTTACCTTATGTACTTGTATTTATTTTGTGAAATCTTGGTTCTTTATCAAGTTTATGTACAGATTTGTTTATTTGCATTTATGATCTGTTATGAGTTCACTCTGTTCTGCTTAATTGTATATAGCCTAACTTTATTTGTGTTCACATTTTGTTTGGATTCTGTACCTCTGTTTCTCTGTTGTTTATGTATTATTTATTCTCA